AAGTTGATGGCATGGCTGAGGCGTTTGCAGTCCACGGCAATGCACTCACGAGCTTTTCGGTGCCCGTCGCACATGCCACCGCCACGGTCCATTCGAGAGCATCCTTCCACAATGCACTGCCGGATGCCGCCGTGGGTGGCACACTTGCTTCCCCGTTGAACTCCTTTCGTGCAACCAGGGTGGATGCAGCGCTTGCCTCCACCGTGGGTTCTACACAGTCCCTTGCCTTGGCTGCTCTTGTCACAGCCGGGTTTGGTGCATCTCGCTCCTCCACCATGGGCTTTGCAAAGGCCTTGTGTCTGGGCAGCATTGCCGCACCCGTCGAATTTGCACACTTTGGCACCTCCGTGGCTCAAGCAATAGCTTCCACGACGTGCGCGTTTGGAGCAGCCATATACTTGACACACCATCGGAACTCCACGGTGTCTACGTACACTACTGTCCACCCCCAGCTTTTGACATGGCGCCACGTGTTCGTGGTCAGAGGACGAGCTTTCCGAGTCTGTGTAGCAGGGTTGCGAAGTCGGGTCCAACAACGCATCAAACACAGCAACGTCGAGGGCGGTAGAATCTTCTGTTGGAGGGAGGGGCCGGTTCACGATATACAACCAGCCTTGGACGTCATGAAGCAGCGACGAGTGCATGGGGGCGTCGCAGGACGGAAATGGGGCAAGGTTGATATGGCAAATTTAAAACTGTTGTGTGGTCTCTGCGGACAATCGTCGACGACCTCGAAATTCACGATTTCCACAACCTTGCTCAAGATCTTGGTGGAGAAATCCAATGCAATTTGCATTGAAAACGCCACCTTTTTGTATATGCTAGTTCAACATTAGACTAAAGTATGCTTGTTTCGTATGGTGTTTGGATGTGACATATTCGCACGTTTTTGGAGTTCGACAACTGAACGCTACAAAACTCAAATATTCGAGGGCTGAAACGATGCGGCGGAGTCGACCAATCAGACGCGAGGATACCGAATTTGATGGTTTGTCCCATCAAATTGGGCCAATCGAACGCATGATGACGTATCTCAGGCCGTGCCTCATCTGGTTATGTCAACGCGCCGACGCCGAAGGGACATGAAATCCGCACGGGTGTTGGACTTTGTCTCTGTCGACGTCTTTGAAAGCGACTGGGTGGTGAGATCCGCGACGACAACGGCACGATTCGCCGATAGCTGATTCGCCAGTATAGACTCAAAGGATCGGGAAAGGACAAGTTGGCTCAACACGCGTTCGACGCCACCACAAATGGCAAGGATTGCACAAAGACAAAGCCCGCGAAATGGCCCCCTCGCCTGCTCTGTTTGCGTGTGCAAGAGGACGCACGGAAGTCAAGGTCCCGTTGGCATAACTCGGTCATGCACATGGAGTGCTAGGGCGACGGACGCGAAACTTGAGGGGGTGCGATAATGCAGCTTGGACATAATCGCAGATTCATCGTCCGAGGAACGCCTCGGCCGGTCCCCTTAAGGATTGCTTCGAAGTCACAGCGACTGCACGAGTTGCGAAGCTCATTTTGTACACTTCAACGTGTTGGCACCTTCCGACGTGCGCATCGCTCATTCAAACCATCGGACACTTTCCGCGTTTTAGAACTCGTCGCGGTGCCGCAGTGTGACTCTCTTGCAAGTAGTGCAAACGAGGCATGCGGCCCCGGTCAAGTCGATTGCGCGGTGCACATATTCCGAACCCGCTCGTTGAATGGAGCATCGACCGCACGGGGAGAAAGCGTCGTGGTGCTCGCATTCAAGACGTTCTTGCATGCTGCCGACGCCGCGTGTCACGTCGACACATGACTTCCTTCGGCACGTGTAACCGACAATTGTTGGGCGGGTGAAACTGCCACACCCATTCCAATCGTTGCAAGTTGGCCGATGGCGTATTTCAGCAACAAGCAAGCATGCGTGTGGCACGGCGGGTACAAGCTAGCGCATCCGGAGCCTGCCTCCGACGCTACGATGGGGTACAGCGGTGCCGCGGCCGCGGTGCTTCATGACAAGTAAGAATGCCTTCTGCATCTTCCTTCAAAGCATCCCCGCCGATGGAGTCGCATTCATGAGCAGGGCATTGGTCGTGGGTGGGCGTGATTTGCTGGGGGAGAGATTGCATGAAAAGTCGCTTGTGATCCTCTTCGACATGAATCAAGAACGAATCGTGTACGACTACGACGTCGTTGGCGCCATGTCTCGTCGAATCGGTCGGCCACGTTTGTTCGCCGCCTTGTCACGTGCTCACAGAGCGCAATGTGTAGGCCATGCCGTGGCCGCCCTGCCATCGACTGAATCCTGGTTTGTGTTTGGCGGCGAGCTCTTGGCCGATGAAGATAATTCCAGATTGCTTCAACCACTCGGGGATCTGCACCGAGTCACGTACGCCAACCATGTTGCTCGCATTGAAAAGGTAATACCGCGATGTGCGGCGAGGCGGATGGAGACTAACGCGTGGGCAGCTACAGCTCAAGGACGGCCCCGTCGCGCGGGCATGGCATACGCTGACTACCATCCGATATCGCCCTCCGCAGGACGCTCCCCCGACCCTCAAGGGAAAGCAAGCGTCTATCTCAACGATTCAAGTTTCGGAGCTCGACGATGCCCTACTCCTTCTAGGGGGGAAAAATGGTGGGAAAGACGTGTGGGTGTTTCAATATGAAAAGGTTGCGCCTGTCGACGACGGCGACTCGAACGCAGCCGACACGAATAATGCCCCGAAGTGGTCCAAGATGCAGGTAGACCTGCAAAAGCGCTCATTGTCACGCAATGAATTCCTCTAGACGGACGGAGCATCTCCTTTGCCCCTTGCGTACCATACATGCCATGCTGTGGGTGACGGAACGAAAGTGGCTGTCGTGGGGGGCGTGCGTGACGGGGTGTTTTCCGACGCGCTTTCAATATTGGATGTGCTGACGGGCACATGGACGACGCTGGTGCAGTCGCCGTTGCTTCAGCGAAGCTGTCATTCCACTGCATTCGTGCATGCTCCGACGTCGGTTGTTAGCGGTCCATCCTCCGAGGCCTTCGCCTCTCTCTTTCCTCGATTGCCAGCGGTACGTATCCGTGCAGCAACACACCGTGAACGCCATGGTTGAATTTTCCTAATCGCGTTCGTAGCCACCCCCCGAGGCTCCATCCAAACCTAGCGACATGGTCCCAGCATGCACGGATTCATTCGCAGGCCTCGACTGCCTTGTTGTGTTCGGTGGCATCACTCCCGAAGAAGTCGCTCCCCTTGACTGCTTCGTCGCGATCGACCCAGTCGCTGGAGCTGTTGTGCGTGTCGATGGCCATTTGGCCTTGAGCAGGTGCATCCGCAAGATCATTTGAACGCCAGCACCTGACTAGACTGGTCGTAGCCACATGGGCCAGGCAGTGGCAGCGTCGACGGACCGGCGCAAACTGTTTGTGTTTGGGGGAACCCATGCGACATCGCATGCGTGGCTCGATACAACGATGTGCGTGGACTTGTGGACATACCAACATGACCCGCTTCCCCCTCCTCCCTTGGAGCGCATGCGGACGGTGGAATACTCGAATGGAGACGTGTATTTGGGCGAATTGAATGACGCCAACTTGCGCCACGGCCTCGGAACATGCACGTACGCCACAGGAGATGCCTACGAAGGGCACTGGGCAGACGATCTGTGGGCTGGCCAAGGGCGGTGGGAGGCGACCGATGGCCAAGTATACGTCGGATCGTTTTGCGCGAACCAGCGCCATGGCAGTGGCCTGTGGACGTGTAGTCCCAGGTTGGCATCGGCTTCAACGCCTGGCAAGTTGATCGAAGTACTGTGCTCCAGAATGCAGTCGAAGTTGGTGTTGATGGATTGAATACGCGTAGGTGTCATACGACGGACCGTGGGCGCGTGGCCGTCGGCATGGAAGCGATGGCGTCGTGATGTATTCGAACGGCGCCACGTTGAAAGGCGCGTGGGTCGACGATGTCCTGCAAGCTTCGACGGTTGTCATTGAATCGTATGTGGATCGAGGTGGAAAGCTCGTGGGGCTGTACGAAGGTGCAGTCGACGACACGGCACTCCATGCCCCGCACGGCCAAGGTCGCTTTGAATCACGTGGGTACCCGAAATGCGGTGAAATGTACTCGGGTAGCTGGGCGCATGGCAAACGTGAGGGGTACGTACGCATCGGGACGACGTTGGGATTTTCTCACGGGGGTATGGGCGTCCAGGCAAGGCATGTGCATGGCGTTTGATGGCACGGTATACATGGGCGAGTGGAAGAACGGGAAGCGAAATGGGATGGGCGCGTGCGACTATGCCAAAACGCGAGATCGATATGAGGGCAAATGGGTTGGCGATGTGCGCTGCGGTCTTGGTGCGTTTTTGCTGCTATCGTTGTTTGACCAACACATGCAGGAACGTGCACGTATGCCGCGGGGTTCGTGTACGAAGGACAGTGGACTCATGACAAGCGCCACGGAGACGGACGATGTACCTACAAAGACGGAACTTTCTATCAAGGCCACTGGGAGAACGACGAGTTCTGTGGCGACGGCGCGCTCATCTTGCCGTCTGCTTGATCGACAGGCATGAAATGTGGTTGCCAAAACACGCAGTGCCAATTCTGGCGACATTTGTTAATTTTCAATGTATTTGAATTTTATACAAATTTGAATATGTTTTGATCAAAATTCAAACTCTAATGCTCTTGTTTTGTCAATTTTGAATTCATTTTTCACAAGCTGTGGTGAACTACCATGTCGGAGACACCGCCGCCGCCGCCGTCTCCAGCTGTGCTAGTCGACGATGACTTGGGGTATGTTGGAGAAGCTCCTCCGACCAGATTGCGCGAAGAAAGCTCTCCACCACCTCCACCTCCATCAGAGACCCCGCCTCCACCACCTGACCTTTCATCGTCGGCAAATCCCAACGATACACTGGACGACGCATTCGAATCATCGCACGATCTTGTCAGTCGGGTGGACGAGCTAGAGGGCGTAAGTCGACTGGCGGTGAGTCTCATTTACACGTCTGGTTGGATGTGCATGATGCGAAGCGGAGTGTAACTGGAGTACGTTCAGAGTGTGAATTTGAGTGTAACATCGTCGCCGCCACCACAGCCACCACAACCTGCGATAAGTCCCCCAGCATCTCGATGGCACTTGGGTCTGATTGAGAACTACACTATCATCGACAAGGTCGGTTCGGGCACATACGGGTACGATCATATTCCGAGCCGTGTACACCCAAGCAGAACACCCTCTCCTCATGCGCGTTCTCTCTCATGCGCAGTGAAGTGTACAAATGCCAACACAAAATCACCAAGGACATCGTCGCGCTCAAGAAACTGCGCCAGGACGTCGAGAAGAACGGGGTATGCTTCGCCCATGTCTCGTGGTTTCCAATTGCTTCACTTGGTGTCGTCTTCCCTCTGCATTATTCGCGTCAATGCTCGAGTTTTCTCGTTGACTCCATTCAAGATGACCGACATGTGCACATCAATGTGTCCATGTTTCCAATCTAGTTTCCTGTGACGTCGATTCGCGAAATGAAGATCCTAAAGCAACTAAAGCACCCGAACATTGTCGAGCTCAAGGAGATCGTGTCGAAGCCAGGTGCGAATGCGCGTTTTTCAAAATCGTACCACTGGCCGTGCCTGAATCTCAACCAGTTCCTTCGTAGATCCGCCGAAAGACGGCAAGAAACCACCCTTGTACTTTGCATTCGAATACATGGAGCACGATCTGTCGGGGCTCCTCACCCACGAGAAGGTCCCGAAATTTTCCCGAACGCAGATACAATGCTATATGCGCCAGCTTTTGTACGGCATTGCGTTCATGCACGGCCAGAAGATTATGCACCGCGATATCAAGGCGTCCAACCTCCTCCTCAACAACGCGGGCATGCTCAAGATTGCCGACTTTGGCCTCAGTCGGTACTGGACCGAGGCAAATGCGCGCAGTGGCCGCTACACAAACAAAGTGGTCACGCTCTGGTATCGCCCACCCGAACTCCTCATGGGTAGCACCTCGTACGATTACTCGATCGACATGTGGTCCGTCGGGTGCATCTTTGCCGAGCTGTTACTCGGCCGGGCACCGCTGCAAGGCCGAAACGAACTCGAGCAGGTATCACGTGTGTGGCGATTTTTTGTGTGTCGCCGGAATCGCTCGAAGAGTTGTGAGTTTGATTTTTCATGGGGTCGACGGATGGATGTCTCGTTGATAATGTGAGAGGATTTCGCGATGAAGCTACGAAATTGTGTCGGTGGGAGTGATTTGCTTGTGGATTTTTGCGTGGTGCATTTTTGAACCTCAAGAAGGACTTGGTCGAGATGTCACCGTGCTTGAAATGACGCTTCGTTTTACGTAGTTGCAATGCATTTACGGGTTGGTGGGGGTTCCAACCAAGGAAAACTGGCCAACGTACGACAAACTGCCGAACGCGAACGTATTTACACCGGATGCCAAGCACGTGTGTCTATTGGCCGAGCGCTTCAAAGAGTACGTGGCATCGATGGCCCATTTCTTGCAGCGCCACGGCGATGAGATCTCGTCTGAGTGATACCTTTATGCGTCGTTAACGGACTTTGTGTGTGTGTGGTAGATTTCCAAGCACTACGGTCGACTTGTTGGCCAAGATGCTGACGCTGGACCCTGCGCAACGCATCACGGCGCTGGATGCGCTGGACCACGAGTACTTTTGGAAAACGCCCACGTGCAAACCCAAGGAGTACGGTGCCATGCGTTGCACTGTCGTTATGGGATCATGCATTGTAGTTTGCCCAAGTTTCCCGTGGCGTCGACCCACGAGTACCAGTCGAAGAAACGTCATGCAGAAAATCAAAAACTGGCGCCCCCTGCGCCACTGCCACCCGCGACAACCTCCTCGCAGCCACACAATCCCCCTTCGGCCAAGCGCCCTATGTTGACGCATCCACACGGGGGCAGTACCAGCCATCATGTCTCGACCAGTTCGAGCGGAAGCCGAGATCACCACACCAGCAGAGGCGGGTCGTCCAGTCACCAACCGACCTCGAATCACTCTCACCACCATCACCAATATCATCACCACCACCACCACGGTGGCAGCAGAGATGGTTACCGTGACCACGGCAACTATGCAAGCGACGGGCGCCCTCTGCAGCGCTACAACCTGCACGAAGATACGAAACGTCGCCAGCGCCGCAGCCAGTCCAGGGAACATCCTCCACAGCATTGATAATGCTACCCACGAGATGTAGCAGCAGTCGATGGTTCGGCGGCGTAAACCGATGGGAACGAAAGAAGCTGGCACTCGTGGCACCTTTTTTCCAAAAGTTTTGCCCTAATTAGCTGCTTGCTTGTCATTTAAAAGCATTTAAGGAGTAAGTCCATTAAACAAGTATAAATGTTTTGATTGGTGAATTCATAACGAATGCACACGTTTGATTGGCTGTGAGTGCCTACTGATAAATAACATCAACTCATCAAGTCCGTGGCTACGCGGTCATGGCAGAGCTGAGGCGGACGATATCTTCGACATTTTGCACCTTGTGGAGCGTCGTGGCGAGGATTGAGCGGACGTCGACTGCTGTCGGCGACGTCACTTGGGTCTGTAGACTTGACGATGCAAACGTGAGTTTGCACGTCACGTTCGTTTTCTTGAGGAACTTGCAAATGGTCGCGAAGGGCACTTGGGTGACGTCGATGCCGTTCACGGACAAAAGTTGATCGCCAATCGAGATAGATGAAATGCCGAGCGCTTCACTCTTTCCGGTCAGTCGCTTCACACGAGCTCCTAAGACGAGGCTGGGAGGCTCCTCGACGGCAGGCTCCAACGACACCCCAAGGCGATCACCAGGGTTCCAGAGGACGCTGTGCACGACGGGCTCGGAGGTGCTGTTCGTGTGCCGCATCTCCACTTGTAATGCCGCCAACTGTCCCGACAGCTCACGCAATTCAGCACCGAGTTCGTCCGGGTCGGCGGCACTCATCCAGGATGAAAACGACTTGGGGCTGCTCACGGCGCTGTATGTGGACGACGACGTCGACGTGCCGCTGCTCATGCTGATCGATTTAAGTTTGTCCACCGACTCCCATGACGAGTTTCGCGGGATGTTGCCTCGAATTTCGAACGACGGGAGGTTCAAGTCCGACGCCGAGTGTCGCAGGATGGAAGCATCGGTGGGACGAGTTGTGATAGCTGTGGAAGTAGACGAACGTAGGTCCAACGACATGGATTTCTTGAGAACATTGACGCTGTGGTCGGGAAGGCGATGGCGACGTGCCATTTCGGCAGGAAAGAGGCCATCGCCACCTTTCATGTACACACTTGGGGGATATGCATCGACAAGGGCATTCAAATGCACTCCAGGAAGTTTGGATGCGATCGCGACATGCAATGGTAACATGCCGGACAGGTTTTTCACCTCACAGCCCTCGGGGTAGACTCGCAAGAGAACGTGCAGCGTGTCAAGGGGTACTGTCGGTTCAGTGCACGCCCAGTGCAGCGGCAGCATTCCAAACTCATCCGGGATCATGACGCAATGTGGGACGTTCTCGGCCAAGTCAATCAGCTCATGCCATTCGCCTTCTTCGGCGCGTTTGACAGCGAGGTGCTCCATGGTAATGCAAAAACGTGGAATGGCGCAACGACAAAACGGCGGCAGATTGCATGTGAAATCGAGAAACCTCTATAAATACATACCATGTTGATGGGTTCACCATACGTCAAACCCAACCAACGTTTTTTCGAGAATAACGTGCTGTGTGATGTGCAGTGGGCAAGAGCCCACAGAAAAGCACGACGGTGCGAGTCCCAGTACCCACGGCGCGTGGCCCATTAAAGCTGCTGTTGCATGTCTAGGCTGCTCCATGTAGCTTTTGAGCGCGAATCCATACCTTGTTGTGACATTTTACATTGAAGATGTCCAGCTGTATCCTGAAGCCACGTGGTTCGAAATTCATTGCTTCTGCTCCGTGTTTTGGCTGTAACGTGACTGTTCACGAGGGAGGGCTATGACCAGCGAGGTTAAGTCGCGGGGGGGCCAGTCGAAGGGTGGGAGCGTGGGTTTTCATCGGTGCATAAAATCAACTGTTTTGTTCCAGCACTTGGTTTAACGCATTCCACTGAGGTGTTGATAAATCTGAGATCCACGTGAGACTCCATAACCTGTCAAAATATATATTTGGACAGGTAGGAGCCAGTTGCGTGGAACTTTACTTCCACAGCCAGGACACCAGTTACGTGGCGTCGGTCAGCTGTCGTTCCGATGTTTGTGGGTGCGTCTCATGTGGTGGCAGGTTTCCGAAGCCTCGAGTCTCTGTAATGCCTCGCGACGTGCTTGGACAGTGCCGGTCAAACCCCAGAGGAACTGAGCCAGGGCTACCAACCTCCTGTGACGTACAAGTCCTCTATTGAGGAGTTCTGTTGACTACTGACCTTTGATTGGCTGAAATGCAGGGTAAAATGATACGTTTGATTGGCTGGAAGGCGTTGATTGTTTGCAACATGGCCGATTGACCAGCGTCCGCAAAGCGGCTGTACACGTGAATTCAGCACCGTTGGCGATATGAACTCGAGTCGACACGCGCACGTTCTCGCTCGAGAAACGTGAATTCAAGGGGCAAATGGGCGTCTGACTGTGGATAGAACCTGTGTGAAGAGCGCACTGGCTATTGTGACGGGATGAGTCTCCCTGCAGAGTGTATCCGACGAACAAGCAGGCCATAGTCCCGAATCCTGTGCCGCGTCGAAAATTTGGCGCCATTTGGAATCCGTAGCAAGATCCGTCGAGTGAACAATGCACCGTCGCACACATGTTCATGTTCCTGCGTAAATGCATATTTTGATCCGTCGGTGGCCCAGCGACAAGCGATTCGAACCGCAGGGGCGTGCACAGTACCTTTTAAACAAATACACTGTGAAAATGGATATTTGTCTCCCGACTGCATCAAACGCAATTATTCACTGGCCAGTCAAGGCCACACCATGTGTGTCGCACGTGGTCAAGCAAACGAGTGACTGGATGGACGTGCCCCCCCCCGCAGGGGGCGTCGTCCCTTCGAGGGGGTGATAGCGGATGATGTGGGATGCATGGGAGGGAGAGGTGATCATGGCCTCTGTAGAGCGAAAGGATGCCACCACCAAGATCGGACAAGCGCGATCTTCGGGGGGGAGAGTGGGGCGCGCTTCACGAACGGCAGTACGCGATACCTGCCGACGCCAAAACCATAAACGAAAAGTACAGCATGTATGAAGCCGCAACAAATCGTCGGCAGCTAGACAAAGCTGCGCAACCGGGCTTCGATCCAGTCCACCGACTTGAACTTGATCTGTTTGGCAAAGTATTCACGGCCGTAAAACGTCGCAATCGCCAACAACCTACGATCGCATTGGGAATGCGCGACATCACGAGCGATCGAATTACCGAAATCCCACAATCGATGCGACGAGGACGTCAAACATGGCGTCCAAGGACATGTTGAGCATGGAGCTGCTCACAAGCATCTGCACTTGCAACTCGGAGCTCGTGCTCGCGACAATGAGAGACCGCGCCATGAGCGCCGGCGCCATCCCAAAGTAGCTCCAGTACCAAATCGGAGACATGTCGTTGTATCCGACGCACACGCCCGAGAAGAGGAAGCCGACCCCGAGCACCATGAACAGGACGCTGTACACGACGGGGGTGCGGTGGCTCACGGAGCATGCAAAGCACACGATGCTCTGCCATGCCAACGTACTCAAGATGAAAATGAGGTAGAGCGATAAGATGGACCGCGCGGAGAGACCGTTCCAGTTGTGCAGGACGAGCGCCACCGTCATGAGGACGATCGAGTTGACCACGCCTTCAAACGTCTCAATGAGAAAGGCCGCGTATACGTAAGGGTAGTAGCTGATCGCGTTGGACTTGCGCTCGAGCTACAATGTGTGAGCGACAGACTGGCGTCGCCGTCCACGATGGCAAGGCGCACCAGGAGCAACGGACGCTCGACAAAGTACTCGGGGACGTTGTTCAGGTATTCCGTCACGAGGCCGTACGCGCCTAGACACAACAAACGAACGTGAGGATAGAACTTGGCAAGTGTCGACGGACTGATCGTGAAGAGCAGCATGACATTCTGGTACAGCAGCCCGTAATGACGAATGATCTGCTTGTCGGTGGGAGTAAGCCGCGGGTCGTTTGTGAGTTCGCTCAGCGGCGTCTGGCATAACGAGCGATTCATACATGTTGAGACTGGACTTGGCCACTTACGTAGCTAAAGGCGGTCGTGATGACGATCGCTACCGCTACAATCTGCACAGGATGGTGCATGAGCCAGCAGCAATCTACTCAAGTGCCGACTCGGGCACCAACACGCAACAGGACAAACGCCTCGACCATGTAGACGGCAACGTTACCTGGCCAATCTTGAAGACCAAGTCGACCTTTTTCCCGTACAGGCGACTGTACCGCCGCTCAAAACAAGTCCATGTCTGGACATGAAGCCACGACTGCTTTGGCACCTTGTACACTCGGCCGACGGGGACGTCCGTGTAGCGCGCGACGGCTTGCATGAGCGCGGCAAAGTACTTACTTTGCTTCCAGTGGTCCAAGAACGGCGACGAGTCACCTACCAAGGGCACGACAGCCTTGTCAACGAATGCCAAAGAACTGTACGTACTCGTCGCGACTTGAACCATCGATGCTGATTTCGTCCATTCTTTTTCGGGGTCCAGCCCGAGCGCGTCAATGATAAAGTCCGCGGGGTTGATGTAGTCCTCGGGCTTGATCGCGAGGTTTCCGACGGCCGCCAAGTGTGTCTTGGCTTCGAGGGACGGCCCGCAGTAGATGAGGAAGCCGCCTCGGTCCATCAGCACGACCTAAGGGGAGTTGAAATGATCAAAAACACCTGACGTGGTGCTCGGTGTAGGCACCGCACATCGTGAAACAGGTCATAGATTTCAGCACGGGGCTGATGGATGGTCGAGACAACGGTGAGCCCTTGCTGGATCGCAAGCGACGCCAGCATTTGCACAAGCAAAAGCGACGACGTTGAGTCCAAACCACTCGTGGGTTCGTCGAGGATGAGCACTGACGGAAGACGAAGGAGCTCCGTGGCAATGGAAAGCCGACGTTTTTGACCGCCAGACAGGCCCTTGATCCCGCTGATGAGCCCTCCAATGACCGTGTTGGCTGCGTCGTCCAGCTGCACGACGTGCAGGATCGTCTGGACGCGGGAGATTTTCTCCCGAAGCGTCATCGAGTCGGGAAGACGGAGGTAAGCGGAAAAGAGCAAGCTCTCGCGCACTGTCATCGTCTACTCCGTCGGGTGTGTACCAGGTTGGCGCCGACCTCTTGCTCACCTCAATAAACGTGTCTGTTTGCTCGACATAGCCTTGCGACGACATGAATACATCGTAGTCTTTTGGCGGCGTCAATTCGTGGTTGAGCATGCGGTATCCATGGTAGCTCCCACTGAAGACGCGACCACTCACCAGATTGAGCAACGTGGTCTTTCCCGACCCGGACGGCCCCTAGCCACGCAAGTGTCAACTCTCGTGCCACCTCGAGCCACACACGACTCTACCATAATGGCGGTGAGCCGCCCTGGGTGAAATGTTCCCGACGCGTCGTGCATGATTTGTTTTTCAGGGGCGCCTTTCCTATCGAGGCCATGACGCAACGGCACATTCGTGTGGCAAGGGAAAGGTCTACCTCGATGTTTCTTGGACAAAGTATGACAAATATGCAAACGAGATGGTGCATGGGCCAGCGGTGGGCGATTTGTCCATGGCATGGCCCATGAGTGTGCCTTGACTTGGCGGCAACGACTTGCGCTCTCGAGTCGTTACAGCTATCCCGGAGGTCAATTCACGCATCCGCCACAACGGATCGACGTACCAAGTTGAGAAATCTCCGCGCGTACGTGCAAGTGAAAGATGTGGCTGCGGTAGAACGCGTACAACGAGCAGAGACAAATGCCAAACACGGTAAAAAAACTCACACCAAGTAGGACGTCGCTGTACTGTGTTTCAACCAATGCGAGCTCCAACTGCCGCGCCGACCCGACGTCCAAGACGAGCTCATACGCTTTTGCGTTGGAGAGCGAGCAGTTGGCGAACGCCAGCGCATTTGTCAGCTGGTCCATGCCGCCGTCGCCCCCGTGGATTGAAAAGACACACGATCCAAATCCAACCACAACGTTCAGTGTCCGGTTAATTTATCCGGTTCGGTTCCTTTTGAAACTGTCCATGTGATTACACTGTGACAGGGTGCGGGCGATGCCGCGCTCGCGATCAAGTGGCGCGATTCTGAGTTCCCAAGACGATCTAATTGATCAGGTAGTGTTTGGCAAGTGCTGCAGCAGCGCGCAGACAGCCTCTAGAAAGTCGTATGCACCACGGAGTTGCTGGCGTTAAGGTGCATGAGCCTATACACAAACAAACATCAGTCGTTCTGCTCGAAAGACTCGCCTCGACGGCCGACAAGCACACGAACGATCCTATTGCTATGAATACGCCTGGCTATATATGGTCCATCGCTTGAGCGCGTGCTGTGGAGATGGCGGGACAGAATTGTGTCTGTCTCGGCGCAACGACGCCAAAATCAACTGGGTGTTGCCGACGTGACGATAGGCGCTGTTGTTCGCGGGGGTACCGAAGAGTACTCCACCGTTGTCAGACAGACTTGCACAGTGGCGCCATGGACACTTGTCAGTGTGCCGTTAATGCATCTCTTTCGAGTCGAATTTAAACCGACGAACGAGTCCATGCGCAGCTGGGCTGCACCAGCCCAGCGTCACCCAGTCTGTGATGGTCACAATCAGAATTTGGATTCCGCTCATGTCTCTTAGTCGTCCTACAATGCCCTAAATAGCAGGTTCTTCTAGCTAGTCGTACATGTACGTTCGGCGGATGGATGGGGGAATGTGATGCCGCCGCCAGCGAGACGTTCTGGGCTGGTTTTGCGGAATACCTCGCCATTTTCATCCAGCCTTTTTGATGCCGCACAGTGAAGTGGCAAGCCTTTGAGTTGCTGCGACTACTTGGCCCTAAGTGGCGTCCGAACACCAACTCAACGTTCCTACGAATTGCATGGAGCAATAACTCATTGTACGTATTTGACCGACGAGGACTGGCGTACATCTCAAAGACTGGGAGCCAAGCTTGCAGGTAGTTGTGGCCCAGCGAGTTATTGTATCCTACACCATAAAGCACCTCATTCATGAAGCAGTCCACGAGCACAACCAAATGTACGAACTAGCGGAACGCGGTGGGACCAGCCGCAGCGTCCATAATGACTGCGATGCAGTTGTGGTGAAAATTTCTAGGTATATGCCTAAGTCAGAACTGAAAGGATGGAAATGCGGTGGCATGTACTTGTACTATTGCGCGATCCCCTCCGTGGACTGCGGAAATTCGTATTGAGACGGTCCGCCACGCTGAATAGGGCTCACCGTCATGACCGACCCATTCGACAAGGTCAAGCCCATCCAATATGACCCTTTGTTATTAGATAGTGGGCTCTGGCTTAGAGATGTCGAGGCTAGCCTGCCCAACAAATTTTGAAGCTCGCAAGTGCATGGTTTTAAGAAGTAGTTCATTTGATTGGTTAGAATTTTAAACTTTTTGCGTACTTCACGCTTGTGATTGGTGACACTACTTTAGTATTCCTAGTTGAATTGGGTTCATGAAATCGTTTTTGAGTAGAACATGTTTGGTCAATTCGTGGACTCCATTCGCTGGAGCAATATAAACTTCGAATTGTATAGCTTGGGAAATGCATTGTAACGTTAATATGAAAATCCGATATTTAGTAGTACACTTAGTAAGCATCGCAGGATATGGGACATGTGTGCGAGAGCATGTTGTGTGCGTTATCCTACATTAGGCTAGGACCGACAAGAGTCATGGACGATGCAACGCAAGCGGCCAACGAGGCTCTCCTCGAGAGGGTGACTCCGTGGGTGGGCAAGAGATTGCTTCCAGGAAGTCGGAGCGACAGCGCGGCCAACGACCCCAGCGTTGTCTTCGAGAGTGACATCAACCACTCCCCTCACCGCGTATGCACTTGGAAGCGTGGCCTCATGAAACGACCTCATTCGTATGTACCCCATGTAGATCATCACTGCAGGCTACACGGAGGATCTCCACTTCACCCGGCTGAATATGCACATCGATTCGAATCGAGTCGTGACAAGAGTGTGGATTGGTTAGGTCGACTACGACGTCTGTCAAGTCCAATCGATGGCATTTTTAATCAATGAGTGGTTTAGCATCGTTGCGCGAACGAAGCAGCACAGGATGACCGCGATAGATATTGCGCCTCGCAACGAAAAAGTTGTGGCGGTAGTACTGATGCGGGCAGGCGTTTAGCCTCAGCTGGAATCACCTGGGCCACTGTTGCGCCTCGAAGTGTCGGATCAATATGCACGCCGTGGTTTATCGGAACCAAATACAGTCTGGGTAGTACATTAGCGTGAGTCTCACGTGACGTCAAGGACACTCATGTGCGGTCATGAGCTTCCTGCCCTGCCGACGCTATCGTGCCACGCGGAGATGCGCCATGATCGTCGTGCTGACCTGAGACGCTTGGCCACCCCCTTTCATCGTGGATGAGCTAGGCACGCGCTTGTCTTTTCCAGGGCATCCTCCGGGACTTATTCTTGGGATGTAAAGCATGTGAAGCTTGGCTCTAATTTCCCAACGCATGACGCGAATCTCCGGCGTTCAAAACAACAACAGGATGCACGGTTACGGTGACAAGTGGGTGTTAGTCGTCGTGTTAATTCAGCGAAGAGTGGTGCTTGTGTGAATTGACCTTGCCGCTTGGATTGCACAAAGCCAACCGGACACCTTGGACTGCTTGGTACGCCAACTCACTCCTCGTGCACTTCATTTTCCATTCTCCCAGTCATGATGGACAGCTCGTCGCCTTCGCAGCACGCGGGAGCGCTGCACTCACCTTCGCTGAAATATCAACGACATCGGAAATGAGGAGCTCACGTCCATGACGAGTCATCGCGCGACCAAAGCCATCTCGCTCCGACTGCGGCGACTGAGGGGCGCCATGGCACTCGTCTAGGCCCGTGCGGTCCCCATCAGTCTGGTTTCCAGCGAGCTGGCAAACCCAGACCATCGTGCCTGTCACGTTGAAGCGCAAACGTCCGGATAAAATTTCGGATAATTGGACCAATCCGATCCGAGCAAGGTCGTTGATTGGTTGCAATCGAGGCGTTGGAGCACAGCGTGAGAGGAAGATGGCCGACGACCGCGACACGACAGTGGCGGCCAAGAAAGCTGCCAAGAAGCAGAAGAAGCAGCAGAAGAAGGATGCAGGGGACGTAGAAGATGCACCAGCCGTGGAAGAGCCTACCACTGTGACGAAGAAGTCCTCGAAGAAACAGAAGAAGGCCACGAAGGAGGCCGAAGAGGGAGCGCCAACCGTGGAACTCGTCCCCGAGCTCGCATCGTTCTTCTCGACCAGTTCCCAGGTATTTGGCAAGCGCGTCGAGCCAGGTACTTTTCGTTTGCATCCGCTGCACTAGTGGGGGTGACGCATTCATGACACGTCAATTCCTTAGAAATCAAACTCCCTGTCGCCACCACCCCAGCACCAGAAGACGAAGCCGCCCCTGAACCTTCGCCCACTGAAACTACCGCAGCTGCTCCAACTGAATCCAAGGTCGCTAGGGCGAAGAAGGTCAAGAAACCTAAACACAAGAAGGTCAAGGCGATGGCCGAAGCTGCTGCAGCGGCTGCGGCTGCCGCGGGCGAGACTGTCGATGGTACTACCGCTGTCGACGAGACAGCGTCTACCACCGCCAAAGGAGACGATGACGGGTCCGTGGACGAAAAGGACGTCCGAACGATCTTTGTTGGCAACGTGTCGCTGGAAGCGACCCCGAACGACTTGAAAAAACATTTCACCCCATGTGGTAAAGTCAAGTCGGTCCGTTTGCGATCAGTGCCGGTCGCCGGGTGCAAAGTGGACCAAAACGGCAAGCAAAACTTGGTCAAGAAGGTGTGTACGAACAAGAAGCTGTTCGTGGAAGGCCGCGATTCGTGCAACGCGTACGTGGTGTTTGTGGACGAATCCAGCGTCGACGCTGCGCTCCAGTTGAACGGCTCGGTGCGTTCCAGAGTCGCTTTCGGTGCGATTGATCGTGCTTGTTTCAGGAATTTTTCAAGAAATGTCTCCGCGTCGACCGCAAAAACGTGTCGATGGATGCGAAGCGAACAGTGTTTGTTGGCAACTTGGCCTTCACGGCCACCGACGACGACGTTCGAAACCATTTTGAAAAAGCATTGCGCGAAGATGCCGACACACCTGCCGTCGAATCTGTTCGTATCATCCGCGACAAGTCGACGCACCTGGGCAAAGGATTTGGCTACGTCCTGTTCAAGGCACGCTACCATCAACCCCATCAGGCCATGATCCTGAACACTATTGTTGATTTGGCGAATGTGGTATTTGGTAGGATGTCAGCACAGCGGCCAAGGCGCTGTCCCTCCATGAGTCCAAGATGGGAAAGCGTGAAATCCGTGTCACGGTGTGCGGCAAGCGGTTCAAGAATACCGGCGGGGAGAAAGCCCCCGAGCTCAAGTTTGAAGGGCGAAGGGCTCGCCCTGGCGCGCAGCTTCGAATGTTGAAAAAGCGCAAAGCTGGCGAACTTACGGACGCTCCACCTTCGAAGAAATCAACGAAGCACAATATGGCCCCGTTCGTGAAAGGCGAGAAGCGACCCAGCGCCAAGACATTTGCCAAAGGCGAGAAGAAGGCACCGATTTCCAAAAAAAGACCTGGCGCCAAAGGCTTGAATGCATTCAAAAAAGGACCACGAAAACCATACCAGGACAAGTCGAAGAAGGGAACGACGAAGCACGAAAAGATCAAAAAGCCGAAACACGCCGCGCGCAAAGCACGACAAGCACTCGAAGCGGCACAGAACGCTTAGCACGCTCATCTCCAACTCGTATCGCGACGCAGTGACAGTACACAACTTAATCTCGACGAATTCGTGTCCCCATAAACGTTCTGGTCACCTTGTCGCGGTCGAAGGGAGATGCATGGTTGGCAGCGACATGAGAAGCAGCACAAACACGAAGCTGCGTTTGGTCAGGATGCACACACAGGCAGTGACGAAAACTAATGGAAGCGCGCGATCCCCATCGCAAAGGAACTTACGCCATGGCTGCTGCGACGTCCATCGTGCTTGCCTTCGGCAGGAGAATGCCACGGCTGTAGGTTCATTTCTCAAGTGGTGGTGGATTTGTGGCCCCACACGCCAAGTCGACATCTCTGGACGCGGTGCTCAATTCAATCGTTGACGAATGACATGCGACTCGCTAGGACGGATCACTCGCCATGCGCTGCTGTTGAGCCCGTAAGTTGGCCAGTTCCTTCTTCAACGCAGCTGCTCTGGCATTTGACACCCCAAACCCGTCTAGTTCCTCTTCGGCAGCCCGAATTTGTTGGTTCAGGGATTCTAATCGGACTGGCCTTGCAGGTGTTTGAGGCACAACCGTGGCGCCAACTGGCTGAAAGGACTTTTTCTTTGGGGGTGACTTCACGTCCGCCAAGCCATCCATGTTGTCCACAGTTCGTTTCGATGCTGCCGTTGAGATCGGAGGGGTTTCCAGCTCCCGGAGGAACTGGACGACGGCTTGCGGACCGCGCAGGACAAGTGTGGACCGAATCTGTCGTTGCGGATTGCCTTGAATGTTCAACAAGTTGAGGTGCGGCGCCCTGCCGAGGGCAGACGGGATCTACAAGCCAACATTGAACCCGTTGAACACGATCCAGTCGAGGGAGAGATGGACGTACGTGGCTGAGGTCGTTGTTTTCAACATTGAACGATGTCAACGACGGCGCTTCATGGACAGATCCGAGGGACGCCAGCTACACCCAAACCGGCATCAAACCCCTGAAATCGTTTGGAAGCGACGGCTTGACGAAGTTCACTTACGAGGTTGTTGGAGACCAGAAGCGTCGTCAGCTTGGTCATGTTGGTCCATTGCACACCGTCCAGCGTTGTGATTTTGTTGAACGAGAGGAGGAGCGTGTCGAGCGCTTGAAATGCCGACAGACCAGGCGGCACCGCCGTCAAATTATTGTGTCGCAGGTCTAACTCCTAGAATCGAGCGGACAAGGATCGTTCGTTGAACTCGCCGCGAACACATGCGGTTCAATTTTAGTGTCACACATACCACCAACGTGTATCGGATTGGTGCTGTCGACTCGATAATTGTGCGGATCGCAGAGTCAGTCAGGCGATTCTTCTGCAACCGCAGGGACCGCAAACGAGTCAATTCGGCGACATCCACGGGTACGTGCGTGAGGTAATTGTCTTCAGCTGTCAGCGACTACACGGCAGTATCGTGGACTCCAATGTCCACAATTGGCCTCGTGGGAACAGAGGTGCCAGTGCAGAAATACCTGAAGCAAGTGCAGGTTGTTGAGGTTGGCTGGCAATTCCTTGAGTCCGTTCTGCGATACATTCAAATGCACCAAGGTCGCGCCAAGGCGGGGCGCCATCGCAACCTGGGATATATCGAGCATCCTACCACCACCACAAAAAACCACTGATTGCATTTTCTCAACGTTGACTTGTATCATGGACAACTCATGACGTTCAACGACATAATACATGTCAACCCAGTCGAAGGCACAAGGTTACCGTCGATTCGTGAGATCAAGTACGCCCGATGCACAGCCGTCACGAAGCAAGTAGTCTGGGATGCCAGCACCATCGATGGATACCGTCGCAGCTTCCATGGGCGACTGACTCGATTGGGAGTCTCGTGCGGCGAGGTAGTTCTTCAATGCGACACATCCGCCAGCAATAACAGATCGGCGTATCGATCTACAAGCCATGCGCCGAATTCAGTCTTGGCGGAACAACATGCCGAAGTACCGAAGTGGATTGCCGTCCAAGAGCACATGGTTCAGTGAGGCCAACCGGCCTAACTCTAGCACACACCATGATGACCGATCTAAATGTGGATTCACATGTCGAGACGTGGATTGTACCGTTCGGCAGCTCAGCCAAGTTGTTGTTGGAGACATCCAACGACTTGAGGTGGACGAGAGATGCGATGGTGGAAGGGACGACTTCGAGTTGGTTGCACCGAACGTCCAAGACAGTCAGAGCAGGTGCGAGCTTGTCGAGTTGGTCCAACGTGTGCAGGCGGTTGTGGCCCAGGAACACGATGGCCAGCACGGACGGCGACGGCAGGAGAGGCATGATGTTCAGACGATTCTGTCGCAGATCCAAGGACTTCAAACGAGACAAGGGCTCCAGTGATGGAACTTCTGTGAGTTTGTTCTTGCTTAAATTCAACGTCTCGAGAAGCACGAGCGACGACAGTGGAGGCAACGACACAAGCGCGTTCTGATGGGCACTGAGCTCGCGCAACTTAGCGAGATTCTCTACCATAACCACGAAGATATGAATTGATAATGAGTTATGCGAGCTGTACCAATAGATCTGGGGAGGTGGGTGAGCTCATTTTCGTGGATCGACAAAATCTCGAGCTGCCCGAGGTGTTGAAAGTCGTCGGGAAGCGACCTAAGTCCGTTGGCGCTAAGCGAAAGCTCGCGGAGCTGAACAAGTAGTCCGAGGAATGCTGGTGCTTGCGTGAGTTTGTTGCTAGGGATAAAACAGAACGAGTGAGTGATATGAGGTCGTGCGATATCGTGCATTGCGCACTTGCTCAAGTCCAAATTCACCAGGGATGTTAAAGAACCAAGCTGAGGTGGCACGTCCGTGAGCTGATTTTGCTTCAACTTGAGCCACGTCAGTGCTTGGAGGTGTTCGACGTCTTGCGGGACCGTCACGAGATCGTTGTAGCTCAAATCAAGCTTTACAAGGTCTCGGCATTCCCATAGGTTTTCATCCTGTGAAGACCACATGCGAGTCCGTGATCTTACATCGTCACCTTGCGGCAACGTACTGACTCCATGCACTTAGTCGGATAGAACACTGCCTCAGGGATGTCTTTTAGATCGCGCGCAGACAGGTTCAGCACCCCCGACTGCCGCGACTGCCGCAGCGTTCGCTGCATGGCGCTCTCAATCAAAAATTCAAACTGCGCGACCTGCACTCTCCTTCAAATCCAGAATGCATGTAACGGCCGTTGCGCGACCACCAGCATCGACGAGCCCACGGCATTCAGGGATGAGCTTCGAGGGATGCAAAACTGCGCCGGAGCATGGTAGCCGCCACGGGCTTCGCGAACGCATATGTTGGCGCAATGACCGACGCGACTCCAGGGTCAGAGAATACGGCAGTGAACACGGACCAGGGTTGTACAGGCGACGACAAGTGCCTCCAACGAGGCATCCAAGCTTTGTGTTCTCCCAGCTCGAATAGATTTCTCTAGGGTGTGCGCCCATGCATTTCTTCGAGTTGAGTTGACTCGAATATTGAGTTCCAGGCGGGGGATGGGTTGGAGGGACCCCACGTCGACCGATGATGCCGCACGACTCGCCGCTGAAAAAGAACGAAATTTTTACATAACTTAAAGACGTGCCAATTCAAAACGCGGCAGTGCACACGACTCACTTGCCCGTTTGCGGATTGGATGGCGACGTCTTTTGTGTGGCGGCGGCCACAGCTCCAATATTTCCCCCAGGATGGTTCTTCTTGAACGTGGCGCGCTTGATGCCGGTGATCGCGACAACCGACTCGGCAACGGCATTGCACACAGCTTCCTGGGCAACGATGCTTCGGGCGGGGACGCTGTCGAAGAGGCAGTCCTTGGCGGGGGTAAAGATTTTGTAGTCGCTCGCGTGGTACAGAGGGCTGTCGTCGTTCCCGACGACGCACATCACGTCGCAGTCGAATTCACGAAACACGTTGGGCAAGTTGAGGAGCTCGGGGGTTTTCCCGCTGTTGGAGAAGAGCACGATCACGTCACCAGGCAAGAGGTTGCCCAGCTCGCCGTGAGTCCACTCGCTGCCGTGAATCCACTGCGACGGGATCGAGAGCGAGCTCAGCGTTGAGGCAAACCGTTTGGCAACGATGCCCGACTTGCCAATGCCGCTCGTGTACACGCGATTCCGTTGCTCACGACTCGTGATGATTCGCTGGACGAACGATTGAAAGTGCGTGGCGTAGTCGAGGTTGTGGAACAATCGGCGAAGGTTCTACGAACGGTCGTGAGCCAACCACGGCGAACGATAGCAAGGCAGACCAAGAGGGCTTCGATATCCCTTGTGAGCGACGAGTTGGGGCCATCAATGGCTTTGACGAAAGGCATCGAGTCCACCGACTGCGTGCGGGCCTTGATCGCCGTCGAGAAGGGCAGCATCTGCTGGAGCCGCACGGCCGTTTCTTCAGATGGCAGAGCTCCCAAGTTTTCGACACACGTACGTCGGATCGCACCGGCCAGCGTCGCTAGCCGCACGGCCGACTCATGGTTGTCGGGCAAACCCTGGAAGGTACACACAGCGATGAACGGCTTGTCGACAGAGTCAGCTGTACCCATCGGTGGACGCCAGCAATGACGCCGCTGAAAAAAGCATCGTCCGCGCCTTGTACGTCGATGGGCGTTGAGGACGCTGGCCATGCGACGGTGCACGTGTAGCACATGCCTCCCGCGAGCGCAAACGCCATCACGACTTCACGTGCATTGTCAGTCAGGGCGACGAAAGGAACGTTATATTTCTCGTGAAGCCGGCGCGCAATGTCTTCGGGAGAAGCGGCGGGGTCGTTGGTCAGCTCTCTCGCGGCGTCCACAGACGCTTTGACGACCGTGGACTTGGCAATGCAGCGCTCTAGCGTTTTCCAGTCTCCAAGGCCTGCATCATGCACAGCAATCGACGGCAGCAACGCAAGATCGAGGAAGCGAATCGAATGCACGGCCAGGTCAAGGGCTTCTTCGACACTATTCAGCGGCAGGTGGCGGATTTCCGTGGATACGCACTTTGCGTGTTGCAACGGTTCGGCGAAAAACATCTTCACCGCGTGCTGGGGAAGCTCCAGCATGGACCCACCCGACAAGATCGAGCACGAGTCGCCGGACGCTGCGACGAACGTGCGCAACACAGTGGTCTCAAAATCTTCGTTCTGGACGAGGTAGTCCGTGTTGACTTGGTGTTCGTGCAGCTTTTCTCGAATCATGTCGCCATATTTATCCGCGCCCTGTATGGAACAAGGTGAAGTTCATGTCGGACGGAATGGCGCATGTTAACCTGAAAGGCCAATAGGCCGGAATTCAGACCCAGCGCTTGACACCACGCCAAATGGTTCATGGCGCCACCAGCCACAACTTCCTTTGCTACGTTCTTGCGCTATGGTAGGGGAACGCCATCAGAGCATGGCATTGGCAGGAGGAGCCTTTGTACGTGGAGATAGGTGGTATGATGAGCGCCAGGCAGGTGCTTGACGTGGCTGACGACATCGACCAAGGCCGAACCGCACGAGAGCAGATCGAAGGATGCATGGGATCGCCGCAGGAAGTTGTGCACGACGGACGACGACGGAACAACAGGCCACACCATGATGACACGAAGAATCGGCGAATGCTTTGGCAGGGTACGACTTGGACGGAGCCTTCGGTGCCCGTCGAAACACGTTAAACGACCTCCGGTGGCGTTCAACGTTTAAACGCATCTCACCGTGCCCAACAAACCGTGGTTTTAACCTACGATATACACGTTTAAACCACACATCAGGAGTTTTAACCGAATCGACGTGCCATGACCACAGCGCCATCAACAAGGTGGAGCGTTTTGATTGGCTTGACCAGTCCCCAAGCACCGGCCGTGCCGTTGAATTCATGTGGCGTTAGAAACTGAATGTGGCTGGTCCTGATGCAGACGGCAAACCGCGGGTCGGCTATCCAGGTCATGCATCGCCAGGCTGATTGCAATGCATCCGTGGAGGGGGGGCTGAACGGCTCACATCAAGTGTGGCCAGAGGCATGTATAGAATCCTAGGCTTGTGAACCCGACCAAATCGGTTCTTTTCGTCTCGAGCCATCGTCGACAGCCGGAGATTGGATGAACACGCGCGGGCTTCTCGGCTTTTCAGTAGTGCCACTTGTCCAGCAACGGTGGCGCACCTCTATGAACATTCAGCTTTGCATACACGAGACATACGTGTGAGTTCTCAGGAAGGGTCCCTGCGCTGGGCTCTCGTGAATGTGGACTGGGCAAAAGCGCCCTGGTCGATACTATTAGTAATACTAGTAGTAACTCTTAAAACCATCGATTCACAGCATGTTGACAAAAGCATCGAATTGAAGACCACTTGGCTCTGTCGACGATAAATTTCCGGATAACTTGAAGTTGCGGATATTCCTCTTTCCGGTGGAGCGGCCCACTGGCAACGATGGAGAAGAAGGTGGTTGCGCGCCTCGAGCAAGCATGGAGCTCGGCAGACGTCGGCGCATTCCTAGATGAGTCCAAGCTGCATGAAATTATGGCTGTCTTCCACGATATGGAGCCCACTGCCAAAGTTCGTCTGCTCTTGGCGGTCCAAACTGCACAGCAAGAACATGTGAAGCAGCACGTGTCCCGAGAACGCCACGGTGGAGGCAGCATCTCCACCACCTTGCCTTGCCTCGGTCTCCCCGAACCTCTGCTGAAACAAGTCTTATCCAGCGCGGACGCAGACAGCGACGAGTGGGTGCGCATTGGATCTGGCCTCCTCCGCCGCATGTTGTTTGCCTCCAAGGACGACCCCCCTAACGACGACTACCTCGCGCAGAGCATCGAAGCGACAGTCAGCCAAGTCATGGCGCTTGTGGAGTCGTCAGGAGGTGGCGAGATTGTGGTGGACGATTGGTTTTCCCACGACTTGGCGTACATGACACCGAACGTGTCGCTGAAGGCTGCGTTGAAGAACGACCATTTTACCGTTGTCGAGGAAGACAAGGCGCAAGACGACAAGAAAGGAGTGAACCAATCATTGCATACACCTCTTCGCCCTTCGAGCACTGCCTCCGCAGCCCGTCGGCCGTCAAACCCGTCGCTCTCTGCGGTGTCGTCGCTGCCACCAAAGCCATTGGCTTCCTCGAAGCGTTCGCTCACGGACATGGGCCCCGAAATCCGTCGCCAGGCCGAAAACGGTCGGTTCAAACGGAACCGAAGCCGCATTTCCGTGATCGACATTGACGAAGTCAAACAGATCGAAGCCGACAAAGTGCAAAAGGCAGAAGAGCGCAAGCAGCTCGCCCGTCGCGGGACGGCCAAGCCTGTAGCCACTGGGGGAGACAAAGAAGGCGGTGAGAATGCAGCAAAGACCTCCGCGGACGCTGCTCCCGACAACGAGGAAGGGTCGTCGTCCGACTTCCATCAAGCAGCGCTCTCGATGGCGTCCCTTCCTGATGCCCCAGTCGACACCAATCTCCAGCAAGGGACGTATTTGGACTACACTGGCATGGTACAATACGATGAATCCTATCTGCAAGGAGAAGACCATGCCGCCGCGAATGCTGCAGTCGCGGCCGTCGCTGCGCACGCGCGCCTCCCCGTGTTCAATGACCAGTACCAATACCTGGATCCGCAGCAGCAACAGCAGCAACTGTACCAGCAACAGCAGCAACAACAAGCGATGGCGTTTCCGTTTGACAACAACAACGCGGTGTATCAGCCGTCCCAGTTCCAGAGCAACGCGACGACGGAATTTCCGTACAACCCAGCAACGGGCGGCGGATTCCTCGACCAAACGAGCAACTCCAACAGCAACACGTATTGGCGATAAGAAACTGTGTCATTCCTCAGCAACACTGGTCAGTGTTTAGCCGGCCAGATGCCCACGGACGGCGCGATATTCGTCATACAGCAAGGCATGCCCACAACATCGTTGGCATCCCCTCGTGATCCTTTCGCCATTGAGCTGGTAGCCTTCATGGCGCCGCGATGTGTTCGCAAGCATCCTTCGATAACACAAACCCCTCGTCCTGTGGGAACCGCATAACGTGCCGGTCGTACGCCAACAAATATCGTGGCTCTTCATTCGGTTGGACACCCCAACTGCGACACAGTCTGGCTATGGTTTGGGAGCGAATACACGCAGATTATGTGGTATTTGGTTCCAACTAGCGACTAAGCCACCCCATGGTACAGTTCAGAACGTTTGAAGCATCCCCCCGAGCTGATGGCCGACACAGATGCCGACTGAATACTGCCAATGCCATTGCTCAATATCCATTGCCATGGTCAAGGCCGCCACTTCTATCAGCGCAATGGCCGCCGCCGCCCTCCCTGCATCGCCCACCGACATCCCAGAACCTGCCCCTCACGTGCATGGATCGGACGGTGATCTACTGCAAGTCTTTTTACACGTACGTAAATGTGCAGGGGCTGGAACAATCACACTGCCCTGCCTGATGATGACTTCACAACGGACGGCTGGCCTTCATGGTTCTTCGACCGCTCGAACGCCGCCAGGCTGTCGAACGAGTCGTCGCGTCGAACACCCAAAGGTTCGCGTGTACATTAGCCCATGAATGAACACAGCGGCGGCCGTCAACAGCCATGGCTTCACCCAGATTGCCGCGGAATCGCAAGCCCTTGCGGCCACAAAGTCCACCGAGGCGCTCGTGACGCTGGTGGTCCAGGTTTCGAACAAGCAGATTGCCGCGTTTCATCAGTACGCGTCGGACATGTCCCAAAACCGTGTGTGGTGCAGTGCTCTACACGGCAATGGCATCATGCGCTCCGTGGGCAATGCTGGCGGCCTTTCGGACGGCTGCAGCAACCGCAACCCGTGTGGATGAGCTCCACGACGGCTGCGATCGACATGAAAGCAGCGTTGTGCTGTATGGTGGAGCGGGACTCGTCCTTCGTCAAGTGCGAAGAAATGGGGCAATGTTGGACAGTACAGAGCCCCTTACTCGAGGACATCCTCTCGATACACAAGCATGTCGTTCGCAGTGATGGTCCCATCCTTGTTAAGAACAAGTCTTCTGCCCTCAATAGATATATCGAGAGCATCGACCCTTGGACATCACCAAGAATTCTTCACAAAGTCCATTCTGAACTGTGAAGCCGACCCGACTGTCCTCACGTCCTGTCGGCGCAATCATGAAAGCACGTACAATAGGAATAACCCCACGCCAGTGAACGACACAGGCGACGTTGCATGCCAACGACGACAACTCCTCGGCATCGCTCACGACCTAAGCAATCGACTCTTCAAGTCCCAGCTCAACCGCTTTAACTTAGCTTCATGCTGCATGGACCGACCCAACTGCCTAAAATGGAAGACATGATGGGGCGGACGAAGACTGTATTGACTCAACGAGTCGATGGCATTTCCTAGGCCGGAGTGGGTAGTGTTGTGGGGAGCACAAACTTGAGTGGTGTCGGCGGCGCGTCCGGTGTGTCTGTAAATCGCTTCAGTCATGTGGACAATCGTGATTGCGTGGTGGCATGTACCTCCTACTTTCACAAGTTGATACACTTGACGCGGCTTGACGAAATCCATTGCGCGATCGCGCGCTTTGTCGTTGAGTTTGAGGCGCTGGCCCGTTTCGTCCACTACATCCAAGCAATTGGACGTTGGGAGCTCTACAAATGAGGTGTGAAGGGTTGTTCGTGCACAGCTCGAAGCACCTTTGATTGTCTTGGAGATGGATAGCAATGCTTCGAGCTGCGTTTCGAGCTTGAGTTGAAGGTCTGAGGGAGAAAGTCATGTGATGGATCGACTCACAAACCAAAACCAACCTACCTGCCAGGTCTTGCGTTGATGCAGAGACAGGCTCACCGTTGGAGGCCCCGGCATCCACTTCGGCTGTTTCCCGATGCTTCTTGACACCTTCGATGTCAATACTGAGCTTGACGGAGCGTTGTTTGCACAGGTCGTCGACGTCCTTGAGAAAAGACGCGCGGACAAACCCCAGAAGGATGTCACACGTGACATTGCTGTTGAACATCTTGGGTGGGATTTCCTCTATCGCATCATCCATGAGCGTCCTTCCCATCGACGCTGCGTTCTACCAAAGCCGTATTTGATCCAGATGAACATGGCCGCGATGTCCTCGCCGCGAGGGCGCCGCGTCGTTTCGCTTTGGACGTTCACTTTTTCTGTCATTCAAGAGTGGTAGGTCAAATTTTGACAAAACGGGGTGCAATTCGACCACTTTCGACGAGTAGACGGAACCCTTTTCTGACACCCTGATAATATACTTAATTAAAGTATGTAGAAGTGACGAGACTCCCCTTTTTGTCAAGGCAGCAACCCTGGCCCCACAAGCAAAGTCAAGGGATTTTGATTGGTTGTTCGCAAAGTTTGGCGCCATTTGATTGGATGGTTTTAAACGGGATGCATCTAGTGAAGCGCAAACGGCCTGTCGAATCTGTGGTCGTCGACATTTGGCATTTCCGAATTTGCACCCGACGACACAGGTACCGTGGACGAGAGCGTGAAGTTGTAGGGGCCTGGAATGGCGATGCCGTTTCTGGGTGACCAAGTGAAGTTGAGAGATTGAAACCAGCGAGGGGTGCCATTGGAGTATACCCTTGTCCATGGGTATCATTCCTTTGGCTGAGATCATACCCTAAATTACCTGATCCGGGTTATACCGGCGGAGGGACTGCTGCGTTGTTGCTACCATTTCAGTTAGTCTTGTGATTTTGTTTCTTTTGTGATGTTAATCGTGGTTTTGGCGCGTCCAACAGATTCTAGGAACGGTACGACCTCTTCTTATCCTTGGATTTGCATCTTAGTGTTACAAACATCACTGGTCTGTCGCGTAGTGATATCATGGCCCCTCAATTGAAGAAGACCACCTTTTTGCTCAACTGGTACTCGAACCCATACCACACGCCCATCTTTGTTGCCAAGAAGCGCGGATTCTATGAAGAAGAAGGCATCGATTTGGCTATCATGGAAACTACCAACCCCAGCGATGTGACTGAAATCGTGGGCTCGGGTGCCGTCAACATGGGTTTGAAGGCGATGATTCACATTTTGGCGGCCAAGGACCGAGGCATCAACTTGACCTCGATCGGTTCTTTGTTGGACGAACCCCCGACCGGTCTCATCTTCAAGGCCAGCCAAAACATCACCAAGTTCACCGATATTGTTGGCAAGCGTGTTGGCTACATCGGCCACTTCGGCAAGGTGATGATTGACGACTTGGCCAAGCAAGCCGGTTTGGCCCCTGACTCGTACACTACTGTGCGTGTGGGTATGAACGTCACCGACGCTATCATGCGCGGCGACATTGACACGGGGATTGGTTTCACCAACTTCCAACGCTTGGAACTTGAAGAATTGAGCGGCGAACCTGCTGGCATGTTGCGCATTGACGAATGCAACGGTTTGGGCTGCTGCTGCTTTTGCTCGGTGATGTTTGTCGCCTCCGACGCATTTTACAACGCGAACAAGGAACTCATTGCTGGTTTCATGCGTGCCACCCGCCGCGCCATGGACATCACGATCGAGTACCCTGAAGTCGCGTGGGAGGACATGTGCGTGATGAACCCCCGTCTCCGCTCCACGAAGCGCCTTGTCCAAGTAGAAGTCGACGGCAAGACTGTGTCGGTCCCCACTGGCAGCGACGTGTACGAGAAGATTTTCCAACGTTCGTTGCCCTACTTCTCGCGCACCCTGCTCAACGTCGACCGCGACTGGAACAAGGTGGGCAACTTTTGCAAATACTTGCACGTGCTCGAACACGACGTCGACCAAAACTCTGTGTGGACCAACGAATTGGTTCCGGCCATGGGCAAGCCCAGCGTCGAACCCATTACCCCCGGCGGTGTGTTGAACATTGCGTAAATGCGCCTTGAACACGAGTTTGTATTCCATGGCAACGACCGTGTCGCTGTGGATGCAGTCACCTTTTCCATTTCGCCCATTTTCGTGCCACACACAGTTTGTACAATCACGTGGGGAACCCACGCAGAACGTCACTCCAAATCGATAAATACACACACCATCGAGTTCGACCTTGTGAGGGTGACCGACGTGGACGGCATCGTCCGATCGAATGATTGATGGGCCTCGAACGAGCTCGATGTGCACGGTCTCTGTCGATTCAACTCGGGTTTCAAGCAAGAGCATTGCTTTCTTGATTTGGAATACACGGTCCGAAAGCGGCACATGAAGGGGAAGCAATGCGTTGTGTGCCGCTCTTGCGACTGCACATGATTGTGAAATTGTGGGGACCATATTGTCTCGCAGCTGGAAAGGCATTGTCCAGCTTTCACGGCAGACGATGCCGTGTGAAGGGCCAGCGGACTTCTAGCGTGATGGCCATTCTAAACTGACCGCTTCGTACCACAAAACCCTCCAACGATGCAAAGAGGATGGAAGATGCGCGAGCGACAGTGCGCTCATCGGTCCACACCATGTCGAACCTGTACAGAGCGCTGACGGACCAAGGAATCCCTCGCATAATTGAAATATCACGCTCCATAGCACCACACGAGCACCATCGGCGTTGCTGCCGATGCAACTCACGGGAAAGCGCTGGCTTTCCCTTCAAAATGCACCCCAGGTCGAGTGTCCCATGCTCGTCGACGGCGAACTTGCATCAGGATTCCCGTACTTGGCAAGTTTCAACTAAGGACGCCATGCCCGGAAGAGTTTTTTTACTGTGGCCAACGTCCATTTGGCCCGTTTCTGAAACCGCAGGCGCCCATGCTGTCGCGCCCGATCCATGCTACCAGCGCGGTCGTGTGGCTCGCGTATGGTTGCAGTCTCGCTGGAGTGTACGCATGCGTTGGTCGCGTTGCCCCCGACGTGCGTTTGCTCGTCATCGTGTTGACTATGGTCGGCACGTGCCCTTGGTACATTCTCCATGTGACTGTGATGTTTGATGACGACCATAGTTTGTGGGCCTTGCTTCGGTACACTGCCTCGGCATGGAAAGTGTGCATCGCCCCATGACGTGGCTGGTTTTGTAGATGCACTCGACAGCGTCGTGACGCCGGATCGACCCGACAACCCACCGGCACTCTGACGAAAGCAACTCCAGACGTCGCGGTGCCCGTCCAAGTTCGCATGGCCCCCGTGACCCAGTCCGCCATTCTCGATGCCCAACGAGCAAACGTAGCGAGCCACAGTCTGTCATGACTCGCCGCTTGGTGCGATTCCCCCGCCGACGCCTGCGATCTTCGCACTACGCGCCACGTCGTTTCCAACGACAGAAACGTCGTGCCGGCAATACAGAAGAATTGCTCATTCAGTTGAGAGATAATTCCGATGACTACATCTCGTGCTTGGATTTGGTACACCATTTTCTCGCTGCCTTTCTCTCCGCACAGGTCCAACACATTAGAAAAGCCACGTCAGGTCGTCTGCTTCTGTCCACAAAGACATCGCACTATGCTTCCATTTGATGATGCAGTTGCATCAAACGTGCTGGCTCAACGAACCACTCGGCATGCTACACTCACCCCCCCCATCCGATGATCCCAATACAACCAAGCGAGGACTCTTCGCTTAGAGCTCACCGGATGCAGAGCCAAGCATGCGTCCATCCATGGCACGCGTAGTTCTCTTCATCACTCTGCAGAGACTCCAGTCGGAGCCGCTTCTTGATGCGCTTCAGGCCAGGCACGAGGCATCCTTCGGACAGCGCGGCCAAGTCGTGGTGGAAAGCTCGCGACGTTTCGAACTTGCTGCGATGCCATTGGTATAGGTTGGACCAATCAGAGTTCGTTATTCCACCAATTGGCCCAGCGATCTCGCGATGGGGAAGACCACGACGGACAACCGAGTACGTCCGCGCGCGCTCTTGGGCTGCATGGAGGAGTGTTGAAACTTCATGCAATGCTGTCTCGATAGGATATCTTCTACCGTCGCGCCAAGGAGGTTGGCTTTCGTGCCCGCTCGGCGTTCAAGCTGATGCAACTGGACGATCAGTTCAACTTGTTTGAAAGTATGGATACGATGCCATCGTGCAAGCTCTCTCCCCTTTTTGCTCTCGACACCCATTTCATGCAACGCGTTTGGCGTAGATGTCGAGCGCGCTGTGGATCTGTGCGCGGCTCCTGGTAGCTGGAGTCAAGTGCTCAGCCGCAAGCTGTACCACAACCGAGACATCCCCAACGTGGACAGCGCGACCACGAGCGACGCCATCCGCGTCGTCTCAGTAGATCTCCAAGAAATGGCCCCAATTCCAGGGGTTGTGCTGCTGCAGGGCGACATCACATCGACGCAAACCGCTGACCAGATCATTTCGTACTTTGACGGCCAAAAGTACGCCACTTCGGCATCCCTCGACGTTTTTCTTCACCGAGTTGTTCGATGTAGAGCCAATATTGTCGTGTGCGACGGCGCGCCGGACGTCACGGGCGTCCATGATATCGACGAGTATGTTCAGTCGGAGCTGCTCCTGGCGGCACTCAACATAACAACGTTCGTTCTGGCGCCTCAAGGCAGCTTCGTGGCCAAGATCTTTCGCTGCAAACACTACGACTTTTTGGCTTCCCAGTTGAGTCTGTTTTTCTCGGAAGTGACGTGCGCCAAGCCCCAGAGCAGTCGCGTCTCGAGCAACGAGCACTTTGTAGTGTGCCGTGGTTTCCGCCTCCCGCCCAACTACACCCCAGTCATGACGTCGCCTTTGCTGCCGCAGTATGGCCAGCCAGAAGCACTCGCCGCCAACCCTGCTGTTGTGTCTTTTGTCGCGTGTGGAGACCTCAGCGCGTACGACGACGGTGAAGTCGATCAGTAGCGTCGCAGGCATGACTAACCCTATGAAGATGAAATTCAATGATGCCGATCTTATCACATCTATTGCAACATTTCATGGGGCTCCACGTGAGGTCCTGTCGGTCATGCCAAACACACACTGGATTGCTCTCTGTATTGAAAGATAGACCGTCGACGACGTTACTCGTCTGGGTTCTCGGCACGCACCCTCGCTTCCTCCAACACGTCGGCCGCCGCACACATGGTTTGAATCCACGTGTGCAGCACGAGGATCGATGGCGCCGGCAACTCGACATCGTCTGCGACCACGTCCCCCAGCACCTCCCTCGCCTGCGCGACGGTCGCGACGGACACCGCGCTCACTTGGAACGCTTGCACCTTGGGAGCCAAGACCGTGTTGACCAGCCACGGACGGATCTTGTCCCACGACGGCATCTGCGTGGCGGCGTTGACGGCGTCTCGTTTGGAGAAGCCGTTCCCGAGAAGCACGAGGCCCGCCGCGAGCGTCTTGAGTACCGGCGCCTTGAACGGGATGAGCGACGTCCCGACGATATGCAGCGCATCCAACTGCGCCACGAGCAAGTCGTTGATGAGCTGCGCCTTGACCGTGGCCTCCTCGAACGCCTTCCTCGCCTCGTCCTCGATGCCTTCGACTGCATTAGCCACCCGCGTGTCGTTGGCCGCCAACGTGTCCTTGATCGCGTCCAACTTGGTCTTGACGTCGCGCTCGTCGGCTTTGCGCAGCTCGATTTGGGCAACTGCCGTCCGCTTCTCGTAAAGCTCGACGGCCTCGCCCAGCGTCAGCGACCACTTGAGGAACTCGCGAATGTTGTCGGGCGTGAACGGCCGCGCCGCACCCAGCGTGTCGACGGCCACGATGAGCCAGCTCTCGACCGCCGGCATCGAGTCTCCCTGCACAACGTCGTCGTGGAGGAAGCTGTTGTACTTGATCCCCTTGACCAAGTACGCGCCCATGCGGGGAATGCCAAAGTACTTGATGCGGGGCTCCCGGATCACGTTCTCGACGTGGATGAAGGGCGGGATCGCGGGCGGAATCGAATTGCCGTCGGCGTCCACTTCCGGCGGATCGACCTCGACTTCCTTGAGCACGTCAAATGTGAACCCCGTCTCCTCGCCCACAAACTTGTCCACGACGCATTTGGACGAGTCGGTCGCGGCAAACCACTGGATAAAGTTGGCTCCGTCCGCGTCGGCGACCCGGCGACCCAGGTAGCACGCTTCCGCCTGGGTCGCTGCCGCCAACTTGGTCATTCCTACCCGACACAGCACGTCCCAATCGCTCGCACTCAGCAATTCTTCCCGCGTCGCGCTGTCTGCCAAGATGGCCGCGTTCAGGTCATCCTTGACCTTCTGAGCTGCGGCTACCTTCTTGGCGGCCTCTTCCGCCGCGAAATCCGCCTCCGTCTTGTGCACGCGCGACTGGATCATTCGTTCCGTGCGCTGTCGTTCGTTCGCCACGTGCTTGAGCAAGTAGCTGCCGACAAACTCGATCGGGTCGTCGGGCTGATCTAGAGCCACCTGGGCCAGAGCTTCTGCCAATGGCGCGCCCACTGTGTTCTTCAGGTACACAAAGTCATAGCCGTGGTTCCGATCCGTCATGGCGGCGGCTCTTCAATCGACTCAAAATGAAACGCTTTCCTCACGAATAGTACCACATCGATGTACTAACTCGAATGGTTGAACGAGGTACTAACGTTACCTCTGTTTTGCAAATATTGCAACCGAATACTCGGCAGTACTCGGAGTATACAACTTCATTGTGTAGAATCTAATGCAAGACAGCGATCCCACTGATCGACACAAAGACCTGCATCTAAATATAATCAAAAGGGCCACTCATTCGATTCTCACACTGTCAATGTCATCAAGAGATTTGTCTAACATTCATTAATGACAAGGCTAATTAAACATCCGTTCCAGCACTTCGGGGGATCTTGTACCAATTGTAACCCTTGAATTCGGGGGATCTTATACCTCCAGCTTCGCCACGGTCGGCGCCCTTACCTCCGCCCCGCCTTCTCCTCCCCCCC